AATAGATGGCTACTGCCAATATGGTAAAACATTTTTCATGCAGAAGTTGCTAAAATTCATGGTATACCGATTTGAAAATTCATTTCAGCAGCTACCGTATTTTAGGAAATTGGTAAGAACGTGATTGATAGAGTATTTGGGAATGATTAAAAATTTGCAGGCTGACTTCCCTTTTGTGAAGGGAATTTGTAATATTTGTTTATTTATTTTGTTTATTTGTAATATGATGGAAAATGTGACATGTTTTTGTTGATATTTTTATTTTGATGTCACTTTAAGACTAAGAAAGAAGATTTAGAAGATTTTATTTATTTGTAATATGACGGAAAATGTGATATGTTTTTGTTGATATTTTTATTTTGATGTCACTTTAAGACTAAGAAAGAAGAATAGGAGAAAGTGGACGAAATTAAAAAATTTAAACGTAAGTGGATGAATTTATTACTTGATCGTGAAATGCAGCGATTCTGTATAATAATTTTCCTAATTATAAATAATGACAGAATACAAAATAATTCTCTGTAGAAAACACTATCAAAGTTTATCTAGAATTTACATGTATCCGAATTAAAAGAATTCAATTTTGCAAAGAAATAAATTCCCTAAATTGCTAAATGTTATTTTGAACATTATTGGCGACTATAACAACAACAACCTCATAAACCAAAATGGAACCAGTCTCGAGTTTCATCGTCATCTAACTTGTATGCAACTGCAGTCCACGAAATAAGTTTTATCTCTCAGCATCAGCTGTTTTTCTGCTCGAAATGAAAAATAACTTTCTTAAAGAAGCTATCGTTCTTATTATTACAATAACAAAAAATGCTTGATTTATGCTACTTCATAGCCAGGACCGACCACTTATCATATCGTACAATTTACGAATTAAATATACCATGAAAAATTGAGACTTATGGGAAAAAGATTATGATTTTGTGAAATGACTTTCAAGATTTCCTTTTCGTCGTATGCTTCAATTTTTTTTCATATGAAATAATAATTTTATTCGTATGAAATATTACTGAAATATCTTGAACATGTTAAAAAATTGCAGACAGATATTTTATATCGCGAAGAAGGTCAGAATACGGTAACGATAGATTTTTTCTTGCAACTGTAGGCATAAGGAGGATTTCAAGGTCGACTTCATCTTTTTTACAGAATTTCTAGGCCTCCTTCGATTCTTTCTTTTTTTACAACACGAAATTATACGATACCACGTAGTGGCCGGTAAATTGATATCAATATTCCAATATATTTCTCGAAAACATTCAACGTAATTTCGAAAAAATTGTTTGCCTCGCTATTATTATTACTTTGGAAAGCAACTATTAACATTTAGCAAGCAGACTCTCTTCTATCATCTGTGCACATATGATTATCAACGCATAACTTAAAATTGTTTGTTCTTGTGATCGATGATCCATATGCACGTGCACAGCTTCTAGTTGTCTGCTTAATGTATCAACAATATTTTTCCACAACTCACTATAGCAGATTAAAATGAATTTACAATGTATATTCGTAGTAACGGCGCTCAATATTATTTAGAATATAAAAATGACCTGTATATATAATTATATCTGCTTATGTTCAATCAAAAATAGAAATAAGATATTTTATGGAAAAACGTTTCTATAGAATTTCCTTATTAACGAACTTTATATTTTTATTTAAAAAATTGTACGATAAAACTTGTTACATATATCATTATAAATAACTTCAATAATTCCATCTTCTTTTATACGAATAATGTGTAAGATATCTGATCATAATGTCGTTGATTTTTATAATTAGACGTCGACAAGATATTCAATGAAATTGTTCCGATAAGGAATTTGTCGCTCGAGATTATATTCAACGAAGAACAGTAACAAATTATATGATTGTGAAATTTTATTCTTAATATTTTCGCTATATTCTTGGTTTTGAGAAATAAATAAAGTACGAAAGAATCAAATTTTTGAACAAGAGAATACACGCGATAAAAATAGTAGTAGCTACTATTAAAACCAGTTAAGAGATTGGTTACTTAGATAAGAAAATACACATGTCATCGGTAAAAATGTGTTAATGTATACGAATAGTTAAATTCTATTTTTAGTTCGATAAATTGATCTGGATGAAATAAATTAGAAGGGTGCTGTGCTGCAACTGTATTCCTCATATATCTACATACAAGATCTACATAAAGTTTAAAATAGCACCCTCGACATAGTAAAGGCATTATTCACGAAATTACTCACATGTTTGCGAATACAACTGGCTTTTAAAGGAAATATATTCACCTGTTTCAGATTGAAATTCCAGTCGAATTCACAATAATTAATATTAAATGTAACTCATGCACGGTTAACGGTAATTACGAAAGCCATAAGGCTTTTTATTTGATTAAATTTTTTCAGCAATTTTTTCCAAGCATTGATATTTTTAGAAGTATACAATTTAATAATTCGAAACTTTTATTTCGAGAAGAAGAAGCAATTCTAATTGATTGAAAATCGTAATTCGCGTTATACTGTATTAAAAAGTGATATTAAAGAGAGATAAGATAGGTGTATGACAAAAAATAAAAAGACGAAAGCAATTGTATGAGAATATAACCTGAGAAATCGAATTTAACACTATTTTTACTTAGAGAAATTGGCGTTATTTTTTAAAGAAAATTAGAAGGTAACACGAATGAAAAATATTTTGAATACTCGTGTATGGAAGCTTGACCATACTCATTGAATGTTGAAAGTAAGTGAAATGCATCCTTCATGAGTCAGACACGATAATAGTGAACCTCATTATTAGACCGCGGATGTTTATGTATTTGAAAGTGTAGAAATGCGCAGAATAGACGTGTACAAAACTATATAAAATATCCAAAGTATAGTACCTGTTATAAGCTGTAATATTCGGTGAAACGGACCTTTGGTTATCTTCTGTTTAGTTTAAAAATATGAATTTGCATAAATTGAAATGAATTCGCACTCTACCCACTATTATTTATAGTTTGAAATACTTATCGTTTGTAAATAATGAGCAACCGTTAGTAAAAAATATATTAACAACTGCGAAAATATGGCAATGCGAGGAAAGTGATGTATTTAAATAAAAAACAGTTTAGCGCCAAAATGTAAAATTATAATTTTATAATTTGTAAATAATTAAGATACACTCTGCTAACATAAAGCTCATCGTATCGGCAAAGACTGTTCTCTTACAAGAGTAGGGAAAAGAAAATGTAGTAATTTTAATTAAAGGAATGAAAATATTCGCGATAATGAAGTTCATCGGTTAATTTTAAAAAGAATACAACTGTTTATTGGAATTATCAGAAAATTTGCTGATTTGGAAGACAGAGTAATCTTACGTAATGACGCAGCGAATATACTCCACGCGCATATTTTCGTGCACAATATCGGTGTGACGAGTGTAACAAATTTAACACGATAAATAACAACCACACTTCCTACAATTTGCGATATCCTTCAAAATACGAAATTTTCTTGTACATTAGACATACATCATTTCATAAAAAAGAAGTCGTATGAAATTATAGTAAATTAAAAAAATTATCATTGAAAAACTGATTAAATCGTCATGAAATAATCCTTGATTATTAACTTTGATTATCATAGATTCTGATAAAAGTGAGAAAAGCCTCGTATTAATTTAATAAATTATCATCTGTGCCTGGTTCAATTTGCAGATACAATTTTAGAGTTGATAGCTAAATTTTAGTCGGAATTACGACTAATCTACATAAAATCAATCTGATAAAAGCTGGAAAGATTCAAAATAATGATTAATACTTGTCTCCGGTGCCGTCAGTGCCTTGATTTGGTTACACACGCGCTCAAGTCGAGCCAGTGACCTGTTGAATTACCGGCAAGCTATAAGAACGTTTCAAATCTGCATAGAAAAGCGTAAGAAATACGAATTAGCTCAAACACATTACCAATGCGGAATCGCCTCCTGATTTCTATCATTAACTTAGTAATAAACATGGAAATATCGATGAAACCTTACTCTCTGATAAAATCAATTAGCCATCGCGAAACGTTTGATGATGATACACAAGCAACGTTTGAGTTCCGAATAAAATATCAAATTATCCTGAACGTTGATCGATTTACATAGCCATATCACGTAGGAAGCGACGATTTGTTCGAGCAGCGTGCTAACGTCGAAAAATCGCAAATACCGATGGTTCAATGCAAAAACTAATTCTAGCCAAGATTATGCGCTACTTGGATAAGGTTGGGGAGCCGGTGGGAGGCAGCCGCATAATTCTCCCCGCTGTTCTCGGACGGCCAGGGCCGTCCAAATTCGTATTACTGTCCACCCTCTACCGAGATTCCAACGCCGAGCGCTATACTAATTTCCTGGTTCGTAGCGTGTCTGGTCCGCAGACATCGTCACACGAAGCTTTCGCGTGGGCAGACGCACTGGCCAGCCCTGGAGGCGTCCCGCGTGCCCATCTTCGGTAGCGTCGCGTACGCTGCGGATGTTATATCTGGCGTCGC